TATTTTATTTTATTTTATTTTATTTTATTTTTAAAGCAACTGTATTTTTGCCTTGCAGATTAAATAATATGACTTAGATGAAAGATTTGCTTCACCGCTGGGATCTCAAAAGCTTAAGAAAATTGAGCTTAGTTACTCTCTTTCTCCTCATTCTTCTAGGTTATAATTTTGCAGTTTCTGCATCCAGTACTTCAGCGCTCCAGGGCAGCACAGTCAAAGACTTTGAACACCAAGTCCTGTGAAAACAGCAATAACAACAACAACAACAAAAAAGACATTTAATAATTGAACATGTGCTTTTACCAGTGCTCTTTTATATACATGTAACACATTTATTCAAATATGATATCATGTAAAAAACATCATGTAACAATCACGCGTACACACTGTTTACAGCAGAAAGTCCCTTCACAGACCCTTTCACTCCATTTCCTGGATGACCTTAATTACTGGAAAACCCACTTTTTTCCCCTCCTCATTTTCTATCACGTCCCAGTCAGCACAGACAGGTCACGTCTGCCTTTTAAAGGACGCCGGCTGCAGACCTGAACGAACCTGACTTCATAGATCACGTGAGCTGTGGATCAGACATCCACAGAGGACAGAACGGTTTTCATAATCTGCATCATAAACCCCGTTTAATCCTGTCCAACAGCTCGCCGGGTGACCCATTAAATTACAGACTGTCTGTTTTTCCCTTTTTTTTTTCTTTTGTTGGTTTGTGCCAGGCTGCAGTAACTGGCTGTGTAGCTAAGAGAACGTAAAATACATAATTGGTTATTGGTCATATTCAAAATAAGACATTCTGATCGGGATTTATGAAAAAAATTGTTTTATTCTCCACCTTCATTTGCCCTTATTTTTACATTTGATTTGAACTTGAAACTTTCTTGCAAACTGGTAACATCCTACCTTATTTGGAGTGCAGGGAGGAGGTTCTTTGCTGCTCGTCTGTGCCATTCACCACAAATAAGACCTTATTTCCATTGTATTGTACTTAAGGATTGATATTCTGCAATTTTGGTTAACTTTAAACATGAGCCAATATTTTTGCCTGATGCATGCTGTTTTTGAAGTTAAAATGGCCAGCATAACAGTGACAAAGCAGAGCCATATATAAAAGCAGAGACTGAATTTTCAAAATAAACATAGCACCTGACATTTTAACTAATTCAGTTGGCATGGAACTTAGTGTTGCAAGTTTCAACATATTTTCTTTCCGTCCGTCTTACCCCATGACACTTCTCCCCCAAGATAATGAAGAGCTGTCGCAGACCGTGTTCCAGCTTCCTGACTTCTTTGGTGTAAGCGCAGCGCCGCTGTCTGAGGCCTTCCACCAGAGAGATGTAGGTCCACAGTTTGTACATCACACAAGCATTCTGGCATGAGGAGCAATTAAGAGGTGAGTGATTTACAGTAGTTTGGGGTTGCAGAAAACTGTCAAACAACATCCCTGGAACTAAAAAAAAGAATGGAAGCATGACTTCTTTTGATTTTTTTTTAAATTTAATTTTCTATATGCATTTATTTTATAATAAGAGAATTATTTTGACCATACTTACGTGGATGTCTAGATAAAGTTCTGGCATGTGAGCCATGCAGTAAGTCTGGATGAAAAGCAAAAATAACAAATCAATAAAGTTAAATAAGAAAACATACTTAAGTGAAGCAGAAATTTATGACAGTGAAGACAGCAGCTGACTTACCGTTTCAGAGTCTCTCCTCAGATCTGCAGCCATCTGGGTGAGCTCTCGCTTCATGCTCAGAGCCTTAGAGTAGCATGTTGTTGGGAAGAAAGGGTAACTCAGTGCCAGCGACACCAAGGATGAAACGAGCAGCGCGTGGTGTAAGATCGACATACCTGACTGAGACCTGCTGCTTTGAACACTTCTTCACTCGTCTGGCCAGTGCTCACATCCAGCCACGTATGCAAGAGCAAAGATTTAACACACACCCTCTTTGTTTACTCCAAAACAATTACACATATGTGGAGTTTGGAATGTGACAACCTTTTGTGGAAGATAGGAAAGCTCTTATTTTGGCTTTGGGCGATCAGAATTGTAACGGTGGAAGGGTTTTTTTTTTCAACTGAAGTAGTAAACACAATTTAAAGCTTTGACTCAGAAGTGTATGAAGTACTTGTAAAAAAACAACTAAGTAAAAGCAAAAAGACCTTATAAAATGAACTTCACTGCTAAGGATTCAGGGTTGGTTTCTTGTCGCTTAACACAAGTCAACAATGTAAAGAAATTCTTAGAATGAAAAAAAAAAGTTCAACTTTATATGAAAACAACAACAAAACAAAAAACAAACAAAAATAATCCAGGAAGTACTAATAGCATGCAATAGAAGTGCAGAATAAAAATTAACAAAAAAGTTAAATACACTAAAAATCTAAACATTTGTTATGGATTTACTTAATTAAAATGTTTCAACAGGTTCTACTCAACTGTATTTAGTAAGTCTAAAGCATTTATTTAAAATTTACTTTATAAGTGAATGTAAAGTAATTGTAATAGATTTATCCAACGCAAATGTTGTGATTTTTTTGAGTGTACAGTATTTACAATGTTGCCTACTAATGATACATGGTGAACAACATAATGAAAGTACTTAACTAACAGTCATAAAACTGCTAAGTAAAAGTAAAGTCAAGTGTCAAGTTTACTTAACCAAGTCATGTCAGCTGGTTCCACTAAACCCAGTTGAGTAACTTTGCTCAGCTCAGTTTAGTAGAACTAGTTGACAAAAATTGGTTATGTGAGGGTTGTGTTGTCTGTTGTTCTGTCTTTTCTGTGTCACCACCTCTCAGTTCTCCTCAGCTTGTTTTCCTGCCTTTTCTCAGTTTATCATCCACACCTGTCTGTGATCACCAATCAGTCTTCCCTCCATGTGTTTATCATTTCCTCTTTCCCTCTGTTCGTATAAATATTCAATTCAATTCAATTCAATTCAGTTCAATTCAATTCAATTCAATTTATTTATAAAGCGCCAAGTCACAACATACTTTGTCTCAGGGCACTCTACATAAAAAGAACAATCTAAAGAAGAAACCAGCAGGCTGCGTTGAATCACAGTCTCCCATCCTGAGCGAACGATGCAGAGGAAAAACTCCCTGCTAATCAGGAAGAAACCTCCAGCAGAACCAGGCTCAGGACAGGCGGCCATCTACCTCGACTGGCTGGTTGGGGGACAGGAAAGAGACACAGACAAACAGAAGAACTGGTTCAGGACTGGTCCAAGTGCACCTTCTTCTGGAAGAGACAAAGAAAAAAACATGATAGAAATAATATCAATAAACATGTAGAGAAGAGAGACTAAAGACAACAGCAGAGTGAGGAAATGTGCTCAGTTTGTGCTCCAGCAGTCTAAGTCTATAGCAGCAGAAATGAAGAATAATTCAGGAAACCTAAGTCTAACTACAGGATTTATCAAAAAGGAAAGTCTTCAGTCTAATCTTAAAAGTAGAGTGTCAGCCTCACGGACAGAAACTGGAAGTTGGTTCCACAAGAGAGGAGCTTGAGAACTGAAAGCTCTGCCTCCCATTCTACTTTTAGAAACTTGAGGAACCACAAGTAAGCCTGCAGTCTGAGAGTGAAGTGCTCTGTTAGGAAAGTATAGAGCAATAAGATCTTTAATATATGATGTAGCTTGGTTGTTAAGAGCTTTGTATGTTAGGAGTAATATTTTAAAATTTATTCTAAATTTGACATGGAGTCAGTGGAGCCAGTGGAGAGAGGCTAAAACTGGAGAAATATGATCTCTCCTTCCAACTCTCATTAAAACTCTAGCAGCAGCATTTTGGATTAACTGAAGACTTTTTAAGAGTTTTTTGGATGTCCAGAAATATTGGTCATGTCCTCCATATCCTCACTCATTGTATGGCATTACCCATCGGTCTCGGTCTCCTGTGTCTTCCTGAGTCCCCTGAGTTTTTGTAAGTTTTGCTGCCTTGTCAGCCTTTTGTTTTTGATATTAAATATTTAATTATTTGAGCTCCTTGTGTCTGCCTGCTACTGAGCTCATTCACCTCAGACCTTGACAGGTTAAGTAAATTCAATACTTTACTTTTTTTGGGAGCGTATCATGTTTAAATTTGTAATACATATTGAGATATTACATTTTAAAATAAAGAAGTAAAAATATATTTTTATGTTTGTAAAAAATTAAAATTAAGGGTTTAGATTTTAAAAATACTTGGTAAAATTACAGATCCTGTAAAAATACGTATGTACTGTAACAAAGTATTATTGTACACCTCTGTTATGATTCAAAGTAAATGTTCTGAAAGATCCCTTTTTAGTTTGCATCACATTTTTGTAATTCAAAGAAGAATTGTTGTGTGAACTTTYACCCTTAAAGTGTGTTGTATGCTGAAAAACAATCCCATAAAACTAAAATACCGGTAAACTTTTTTTCCTCCATCCACTAGAAGGAGGTACTAGCCAAGCTTTTCCTTTTCTACATCTCTTCTTAGTTTAGTTCAGTCTTGAATTAAAAGTCACCTCTTCCTAAACAAAAGCTATATTTATAATGAGCTATAACTTCTGCAGGCCCAACTAAATACTTTTACTTACAAAACTAGCGCAGAAGTTAAACACRTTGAGACCTCCCACTAGTGAAGTATAGCTTCACTTCATCCCTGTCCAGGTGTGATATGACACTGTCATCACTTATCCCATCATGACAAGCACACCTCCCGATTCTTCCCAGTAAGAAACTGGTCCAATTTTGAGTGATGCTTGTCATCCTCTCACAACATGCTGAGATCTTCCTCCCCCCGGTATGGAGATGGATGACCCACCCAGAGTGTGTGCTGGCATGATGGAGCAGCATTGAGAGGGGGAGAAAAATGTGTGGTGTGCTCTGTCAGCACATCTTTCACCCCCCAGTCCTACCACTCAGCCACTTTCCTCATGACCTTGGACTGTTCAATTAACAGGGGACCCAGGTGACTCTGCAGTCCTTTAATGGATGGATGTGTTTGCGCTTTGTGGTTAAAAGATGATTAGAAAATAGGCTGCAAAAATTTGCTCAAAAGGGAGCAGATTCCAACAGAGCAGGTAACATGTTCTGAACTTGCAAACAAAACAGAGACTTTCTTCTGTTTCATAATTTGTCAAGAGAACAGTTGATGGACTTAAAATACAGTAGGTATTGTGGTTCTGTATGATTGATTATGTCATGCTCCAAAGACACCAGCTATGATATCGTTCAGGTCAGAAATTAGTGAGAGAATTAAAATGAAAAAAGCAAAGAACTCTATGAAAGTTTAGTCAGCTGTTATACAGGTTGAGAACAAATTTATTCTGATAGGAAAAATAGAAAATTTTTGTTCTAACAGAGATACAAACTGTATATTTGAACCTGCTATGAAAATGCTGATACAGAATAAGAAACTTTATAAGGCACATAGATTAGYGCAGACAGGTAATCACTTGCACAGAAATGCTGTTTGTGTGATTATCTTTAACAATTAAGACAATCAAAGGAGTGACAAACAACTTTAGGTTCTGAAACTATTCAGTTTCTCAGCTGCAGATTAAAAGTGGCAGAGATGTGTGATTAATTTTAGTTAATAAATGTTGCTATTAGGCCAGTTAAACAAGATCATAGTGACAACACAAATAAATGTTTCAAGTTTGGAAGAAATTGTGGTAATTTAAAAATATATATTTTAACTTCTGGAAATAGTGCCAGGACCTCAAACATCATGCATCATGACCCTCAGTGGGTTCCTGAACCTAACTTTGAAACCTGTTCTTATGGAACCCAAGTCCTATATCAGGCTGAAAACAACTGGTCTACAGTGAGCAGATCAACTCACTGCACAGTAATAGAATAGAATAGAATAGAATAGAATAGAATAGAATAGAATAGAATAGAATAGAATAGAATAGAATAGAATAGAATAGAATAGAATAGAATAGAATAGAATAGTGTATTAGCATCAAACTGACAGGCTAATATCACACATACACAGACAATGAAGTGAGTCATCGTTAATATATGTGACCCATCACACTGAACTGAGGATTAAGGCCTGAAGTGGTTGTGGAGAAACTTGCAGATAATGCATTAATTCAAACATTTGCAATARCTGCATTTTGTTCAAATTTAATGAATACATCTATGGATCATTCGAATGAACTGTCTGAAATACAACCTTGAAGAATTTTTAAGAACTTATTTTGATCAGTAGTAACAAAGAACAAAAAAAAAATCTTGCATTTTTTTTACATTTTCCCTGTGCTCTTTTTTGTCCACAACTGGTAAATCTTAAAATCCAAATATTGATTGAGGTTTCCTATTTAAAATGGCATCAACAATTCCTCATTAGAATAATCTAAAAAATAGGATTTTGACCAAATATCAATGAGTTAACCTGATTAGGAAGACAAACARTATATCTGGAACTGCTCATGATATCAATGTAGATTAAAACAAAGGAATCTAAAAATGTGCTGAAGTCATTTCGACCAAATTTGACTTAATGTTCAATTTGATATAATGGGTCACATATAGGGTTATCAGTTGTGATGAGTTGATTTAGATTAGATTAGGTAAGAATTTGAGTTCCTGTCGTGTAAACTGAAGACCCATGCTGTGAGGGGTGCAGTTCTAAAGATAGCCACAAGGTGGCATATTGCGCAATGTAACCCCMCACACAAATAAAAGTAATCTGAGGACATTGTGAAAATATAATTTCTGGATTTCAAAGAATAAACATAGATTAAAAAAATGGATACAAATCAGATTGGTGTATTAAGGACACGAAGTCGCTGTGTAACAACTAGATTAGTGTTTAGATAATAATTTACATGACAACACTTTGGAGAGACGTGTAGGACTTTTTGATTGCGTGCTGTGTGAGCCATGGTGTGAGGGCAGCTCAGCCTCTCCCAGAGGCGGAGATGTTGAGGTCAGCCTCACATCAGCGCGATGCGACGTACGGCACACCTCTCCATTAAACCTCTCCTATTGTTGTCCTTCACAAACACACTGCACGGGATTCCGCCTGTGCGTCCTGGCGAGTCACGTCTCGCCGCGCTGATCCCCCTTTTTTTTCTCCCCCCCTCCCTCCGGAGGCAGGTGTCCCCGGCGCGGGACAGGGCAGGCATAGCCTCCGAGCTGTTGCTCCACATCTCCTCTCTGCAGCAGGCTGGGGGAGGTTAGAATCATGCCCAGCAGCTACTAACAAGCCGGCGGCGTCCAGAGGTAGGTGCCCACCGCAGCTACTTTGAATTCAGCGCGTGTTGGATCAGATAGGGGTCYATGAGCACCGTGTCCTCTGCAGGGAGCTCAGCACTGCGGCGTCCCGCACTAGTTTAGAAATGTTTCGTACAAACCCAAGAGGGGAAAGGTGGGGGTGTTTGAAGGGCCAGTCTGGAAATGGCAGTCTTTAACTGGTTCCAGACAGCTTGGATCACAGTTCAGCCACTCCTTCTTCTTTATTATTAACCAAACTGTCATTTTCTTTAAAAAAAAATATAGCTGCGACATTTGCAATAATTTATAAACGTTTTGTCATATTTTACCCATTTTTTACACGTATTATGACAAATAGCAGCTACTCTAAAATAAAATAAAGTAAATTTTCAGAAGCTGCAGAGTCTGTTTTCACAGGTGCACATTTGTGCACCCCTCTAAAATCTTGTGAAGGCAGCTTGATAGATTTCCATTTACAGAACTCACAAACAGTACATCAAACTCCTCCAGTTGTTAAGGTGAAAGCAGCTTCCATCATTCATCACTCATGCCCTGTAGACAGTCCTCCTGTGGGATGTGTTTTTTGATTAAACTAAAGTAATTAAATAAATTATTGTTGGCACACAAAAGAAAGATGAAGCTTCAGTTCATTGTGTTTTCTAATTAAGGCTATATGTTTGAGCTATATTAATATAGTAAAATGTTTGTTTTTATTCTCTGTGTCCCCCCTTCCTGGCTCTGCAGGAGGTGATGCGTTTTTTTCTGCCTTCCTCCACAGGTTAGACAGTCAGCAGAGGGTCATAGCCACAAGCACATCATCAGCCTTCCTCCTCTTCCGCCTCCCAGCTGGAAAGAGCTGCATCCACCTAAGCCGTGACGAAGACAGACAGAAAACATAGGGGATAAGCCTGAGTGTGTGTGCGTGCGTGCGTGCGTGCGTGCGTGCGTGCGTGTGTGTGTGTGTGTGTGTGCGTGCGTGCGTGCGTGCGTGTGTGTGTGTGTGTGTGTGTGTGTGTGTAGTTTAGTGCTCCCAACCCTCCTCTTTGTGTGTGCGCAGTGATGTGAGGCTGTGTCAAGGTGCAGCGTGAGGAACCACTTTAAGTCAGCAAAACGGGATCCAGCCCATGAGACTGGATGTGTGTGTGTGTGTGTGTGTGTGTGAGTGTGTGAGTTTAGTTGATAACTGGGCTATGAAGGAGAGCTGTTTGAGACTGGGTTGACTCGTGCAGGACAGGAAGATCTGTAAGAGGAGCAGCCATGGGGCTCGGACAGTCCAGCAAGACGCCGGTCACTGATGACACAGACGAGGGTGAGGATTGAAACCATCACTTTGTCTTTTTAAATTCCCTTCTTTTTCCTGCATTCAGCTTTGTCTCCTTGTTTTAATTTCTRCAACCTTATCAGTGTGTTATTCTTACTTGACATGATTAAGGACACTTACAGTTAATTACTGTAAAGCTGATGAGGTTTGAAGCCTGATTTACTTAATCCAGAGGAGAAACACTCAGAATCACACACAGTTTGCTTTTGTAGAGACCCAACAACATGAGAATGTGTCAAGAGACCACAGCATTTAATACTTTTGCAGAATGAATTTAAGGAAATAAAAGTTGTAATTTTTAAAGCCAGATTCTTGTCTCTGATTGGAGACAAAGTAATTGGAGACAGAGAGGGTTCTCCTTATGAGGTTGGACAAACCTGATGGGTGAGCTGGGACTTTCCTGATATTTCTCATCATTGCAACATGGGAATGGTATATCCTAATTGCTGTTAATACTCAGTGCTCAGAAGATTTCTGGGGAACAGTGCATGACAGAGAAGGACAGGAGAAAAACGGGTGAAAATCATAAGATTGAAGCAGTGGCAAAGACAYAAGTGATACAGATCAAAAACCAGTTCTATGGTGATTTCAGCTATGTYTTTTTGAACACACACGTTTGTTCTTCAACACTGTGCGTGCATTGAATTCCATTCATTTTTTTATTTTTTTATCCTAACCCTGACCGTTTACCCCAAAATTAGCATAGGCAGTGCGGCTGTGGTGTAGTGTCAGAGCAGCCGGCTTGGGACTCGAAAGTCACAGGTTCAGCTCCAGCCATGCCCACATGTTGTGGTGTCCTTGAGCAAGACACCCAACCCCAACTGCCCCCTGGGCGCCCCACATGGCAGCCCGCTGCTCCACCTGGGTGTTTCTCATGTGTGATGGGTTAAATGCAGAGCACAAATTTTATCATTGTATGGGAACGTGCATTGCATGATAAATAAATAAATAAATAAATCTCACAGGTACCTACCTGACCCTCAAACTAACCTAAAACCTTGGTCCTAACCCTCCCCCCCAACCCGTAATTTGCATGTGGACCCATGTGGACCTGGCG